TTCTTGGGCATCCTGATATGTCTCTTGCTTTTCCTGGAGATAAAATAAAACTGCTACCTTTGGCCAGAATAATAATATTATATGTCAGCTTTATTTTAATTTGCTATTGACAATGTTTTTTCTCAGTCACTTTACAGACAAATAATATCTCCTGAGAAATCATCTTTAGCATATTAGAATCTCAAGCAGAAGTTCCATGGCGGACACCTGGGGCAATTTTCTCAGATATAGGACAGACTTCAGCTGGAGTGTGAAATTGGATTTTTTTGGTCTTTTTCATGTATTCCAAGTAGTGGGATAAATTGGTTTTGTACTCCTGTTTCATAAACTGTTCTTTCTTTTTGTTTTCAATCTACACAAAGCACCTAAAAAAGAAATTTAGAAAGAAACTGAACTAAAACACTAGCTTACTCTTTCACATGACCAGCCAAGAATTAGAGAGACCAGAAAAGTAACCAGGTAGAGTTAATCCTAACCAGAAAGAGTTTTGAGTTCTGAGTCAGGAATCAGGAATTACATAATTAGTAAGAGATTATTTCTGGTCTAGTGATATTCACTCTTAAGTAAATATAAAGACGATGGAGCATTCATCCACTTGGAAAGAGACCATAGTTTGTGTCTACCTACCTAAATGGGAGCTGTTTGAGGACTTCAATATCCAAAAATTTAAAAGGGGTTCTGATATTAAAATGTTTGAAAACTGCTCTTCTAGCAGATTGAACAGGAATTGATGAAACAGAGATAGTGTAGAAATAATGGCTTCAGGAAGCTATGAAAAAGAAAGGATTATTGTTAAAAGGGAACTTTGGGGTCAAAGGATTTGTGTGTGCACAAATATGTTTTATGATAGATAATACTTGAATTTGAGCATGTATAACTACTAAGGGAAAAGGTCAATTAAACAGAGGGATGTGCATGGAGGATGGGGTAGCAAGGACAAAAATCCCTTTGAAGAAATAAATAATCTTTACTGGATTGGAGAAAGAAGAGAAAACTGTCCTTTTAGCAGCAAATATACTAGGAAAGGATTGATTCTCACAATGAGAAAGCTTTAGTGTTCGTAGCAGAAAGTTGAAAAAGCTCTCAGTTTATAGCTTCCATGTGCTTTGTAACTTAGGAGATAAGGTTGAGTGTAAGGATGGTGAGAAGATGAGATGTAGTTGAAGAGCAGGAGATGGAGAGACTGGAAAATATGTGAAAGTGTTCCTGTGAAGAATGGGAGGGACATGACTATGGAAATAAGGCTGGATTGTCAGGAAGCACTGAAAATACTGTTGACTGAAATTGAAGACCATAAACATAGAATTGAATACTGGATTTAAAAAAAAAATACTTGTTTCATAGTAAAATACAGCACAGAGAGATAAAATATATATTTATGGTAAAACAAATATTTCTTAAGTTTATCAACACCTTTACCCTCCTACCACATAATAAAAGACTGTAGAATGCTTCCATTAACTTTACTTACCATATGTCATCTTGTATTTTCTAGTATTTTTACTCCATAATATATTATCATTCTATATAGCGAGTGTCCATTTATATTTACCTATGTATTTATCACTTCTTTATTCTCCATTCCTTCTTTTATTGGGCCTTTCATTTTGGCTCAATTTCCTTTAGAATTTCCTTTAATAAAGTTAGTGGTTACCACAGATGGTGGTACTTACATGTGGAATACAGTGAAATAAACAAATGGGTCTGGAAAAAACAAACCACAGAAATCTGCCTATAGAACTGAGGCTTCCAGATGAGGAGGGAAGAAAATAAAATGGGGAGGTAGCACAATGTTTGTTGGTGGGTGTGGGGTGGTAAAAACACCTGAATGGGATGATCCTATACCTGGAAACCATGTACAACATTGAAAACCAATGTTAATGCAATAAAAAATAATAATAATTAAAAATTAGTGGTTACCAAAGGGAAGGGAAAAGGAGATTGGGTAAACCAGGTAAAAGGTATCAATTGTGTAGTGAAGGATGGATTTTTTTTTCCTTTATTGAAGTATCATTGGTTTACATAGATGTTAGTATTTTGTAAGTATAGGCGCTCCCCCACCCAGGGGGAGTCACTGTATTTAAGTTGGATTTTTATCTGTCCCTTTGTTCGGTTTCTCTATATTCCACATTAAGTGACACCCTTCCATATTTGTCTTTCTCCTACTGACTTATTTTGCTTAGCACAGTCCTTTCCAGTTCCATCCATGTTACTGCAAATGACATGAGCATATCTTCTTTGATCACTGAGCAGCCTTCCACACTGTGTATATATATACACCACATCTTCATGATTCACGTATCTGTTTTAAGGCACTTATGTTTCCATATCTTGACTATTGTAAATAACGCTGCAATAAACATAGGAGTGCAAGTTTCCTTTTGAATTAGTGTTTCTTGTATCCTTTGGGTAGATACCTAGACATAGAATTATTGCAGAGTCTGAATTACTACAGTGTCTATTGTGACTTCTCATTTATTTTTTATGCTAGTTGTTTGTTTTCTTCCCTTTTTGAGCTTATCTAGACATCTGTCTATTTTGCTTAGTTATTCAAAGAACCAGCTTTTGGTTTCATTGATAGTTTGGATTGTCTTTTTTATTTCTATTCATTTATTTCTGTTCTAAGGTTTATTATTCTTTTACAGGATTTTAGTTTTGTTTGTTCTTATTTTTCTAGTTCTTCAAGGTGACAGGCACACTGTTATATATTGGAACTTTTCTTCCAGTACATACTTATATGACTGTATATACTCTCTTGGTACCACCTTTGCTGTATCCTATAAGTTTTGGATCGCTGTGTGTCACTCTCATTTGTTTCAAAGCATTTTTTTAATTTCATCTTTGATTTTCTCATTAACCCAGGAGTTTTTCAGTAGTGTGGTTTTCAGTCTACACATATTGGAGGATTTCCCTTCTTCTTTTTTGTAGTTGATTTCTTCTTTGATACCTTTATTGTCAGAAAAGATGCATGGTATGATTTCAATCTTCATGAATTTGTTGATACTTATTTTGTGACCCAATATATGCTCAATCTTGAAGATGTCCCATGTGCACTTGAGAAGAATGTGTATTCAGCTTTGGGGGAGGTGCAGGGCCATAGAGAGGTCTGTTAGCTCCATATTGTCTAATTCTTTGTTTAAGGCTATTGTGTCCCTATTCCTCTTCTGACTCAATGATCTGTTCATTGTGTGAGTGGGGTGTTAAAAAACAAAAAGGAATTTCATTGATGATGGTATGCTGGTACAAACACTATCTTTTTGGGGAAAATGGTTTTATCTTAATGTTTTAAAGTTTTTTTTAAAGATTTATTTATTTATGCATACAAGAGCTGGGGTACAGGCCAGAGATGCAAGGGGTGAGAGGATTCACCAGAGACAGAGTGGGGAACAGAACAGGCAGACTGACTGAAATACATTGCTGAAGGGAGCAGTGGACGAGACAGGAGAGGTCTGCTGCACCATGTGGGTAGCTCCCTGGCCAGCCAGGGATCAAATGTGCTGCAGAGGCTGCTGATAGCTTGACAGTGTTCTACTTAACCCCTTTTCACCACCAGGGAGGTCCAATATTTTAAAGATTTTTCTCAGGGTAAGGAATTCTAACTTGGAGCTATTTTCTTTCAGGAACCTGAAGATATCATTCCACTGACATCTGATTTTCATTACTGGTATTGAAAAGTGGACAGTCAGCCTGTTGCTCCTTTAAAAGTATTCTGAATTTTTTCTCTGACTGACTTGAATATTCTCTTTTTTGTGGTTTCATAATCAAGTATCTAGATATAGAAGTCATATTCATTCTGCTTAAGATTTTTGATGATTTTTTGAATTTTTAGATTGATGCTTTTCATCAATTCTGCAAAATTCTCAGTATTTCATCAGATACTATCTTTGCCTTATTTTCTCTCTCCTCAAATTAGACATCTTCCTCCAGGACTCTTAAGTTCTCTCTTTCTGTGTGTTTTTCTCTCCATTTATTCTGTAATGTTCTTGTCATCTATATCTTCATACACCTTCCCATTATTTCTGTGAATGATTTGTTATTAAATCTAGACACTGAGTTTAATTTGAGTTGCCTTTTATTTTTCCTTTCTAGAAATTTTACTGGTCTCTTTTTCAAGTTCAGTAGGTCAATTTTTAGACCTTCCTGTGTTTTCCATCTATTTTTTTAAGTAGATAAGCATAAGTGTTTATAATTTGTGTTCAGTGGTTCAGTTTATGAAGTCTTTGTGGACCTCAAACTGTTTCTTCTATTATTACTAATGTTTCTTTCTCTTAATATTGTGTTCCCTTGTGTACTTGATTTATTTTTTACTAAATACCTTCCTCTCCCTTAAAAATATCTGTGAAAATTCCTCGAAATTCAGCATACATGACTTAACCTCCAAAAAGATCTAAATTTACTTCTACCTGTTACCAAGGACACTACCACTGGTAAGTGATCTAGAACCATCTTAAAATAAATATGATTTAAGTTTTCCCTAGACTCCTCAGGTTATACAACCTTAGTTTGCAAATCTGCACGGGTTGATGAGTGCCCACAACTTTTTGGAAGGAAGTTTTCCTTCTCATTTGTGCAGTTCCAAGGCAAACTTTCCAGTTTCGTTCTGACTCAATCTTCATTGAGAGTGTAGCCCTCTGTTGTTATGGCTTACTAAGAGGAGAGTCTCCTATAAGATTCTCCAAATGTATTGGCTCTGAGTCATAAATCTTGCTCCCTTACCTTACAAGCTTACCAAATTTTTTTCAAAATTAGAAAATACCTTCTGGGTCAAGTGACCTCGGTTTACAGCTTACTTCTTCAGTCTCCTAATTTTACTTAATTTTGGTTTGAAAATTTCTAAACATACTATTAATTCTTTGATGTTTTAAAAGAAATAATTTTATTGACTAGCTTGTATGTACAAGACTGTTTTAGGTTCTCTGCAGAATTGTAATGTGATTAAGCACTAATCTTCACCTGCAAAATAATTTTGAGCTAACAGATATTTTTAATATTATTTCCAGCACTTTTAGTAGTTGTCAGCAGGAGAAATTTGTCCAAATAATCTAGTCAACCTTTACCAAACTGGAAATCATGATATTTCTTCAAGAACACTCATCAGCCCAGGTACGAATATAGAGGAAATAGACATTATGTTTCATCCAGAACTGGGGTTATAAGAATAAATAGAGGATGTGGCAAGCTAGCTTAGGGAATTAGTAAGGCAGTGAGTATTTGAAGTCTTGAATCATAAAATATGAGCTGGATAAGGAGACAATAAAAAACATAGGAAATATTTGAAACATTGAAAATATATGATAAAGAGAAAATAAATTTTAATAAAGGTGAAAGAATTTATATATTCAGGGTAATATAGTGATTGACCTAAACAGACAGAAAATCGCAAAAAGAGGATTGCCCAGGTATACGATCTTCAAGATAGAGAAGTTAATTTCGACTCTGGAAGTGGGCAGCTAAAGTATGAGGTTGAGTAGGTTAGTTTGAAGGTGAAGAAAGCAAAAAACCTAAGATTTTGAAATCAGCCAAGATGAAGTCAAAACTAGAAATGGAACAAAAGATCATACGACAGACCTATGATCTTCTATGAGTAAATGAAAATGAGTATTACAAGTATAGATTTCAGAAACAAGGTGAAATAAAAGGTGGTATACTGTGACATTTGCCTCAAGAGATCATGGGAAATTTCTTAAAGGGCAGGTATACTGTGCTATTTGCCTGAAACATATAATGTCATAAACCAAAGCTTTGATCAAAGAGCTCACAGAACGTTACCTAGAATCTGCTTTTAATATCCCCAGATTTCATACTCTCCTCATTCCGCAGGACAAATAAGACCAGACCTATGGATATACAGGAATTGGCATGTCATTTTCACAGTAGCTATCAATATTGCACCCAAGAAATTACTAATAAGCCAGTCTATGGGGAAAGATTATGGCCACACATTCTATGAATATCTCCCCCCAAATTAAAAGGACCTCAACCAAAATTGCATCAGGCTGCAGAAAACAGTGCTGCAAACACCAACATACCCTGGCAAACATATTTCAGCAGGGTTCCCAGAAGTTTAGGTTAGCATTAATCATTGCTCCTAATTGCTGTCAGTTAACTCTCTGGAGCCCCCTCTAGGCCAAGCCGTCATCCTAGGAAACATGTTGTCTTCCCATATAATGCATTTTCTGTCTTGCCAGTAACAGAATCTGTGGCTTTGGTGTTCTTTTACAGAAACACTGATCGAATTACCCTAAGACCTTTCTGTGTGTTCTGGGTTACCGGGCAGACTTCCAGAAACACACGCTTGCATTACCCTCAAATGGAATCCTGAACTTTCCAAGACTGCTCAGAAGCAGATATTTCTCAGTCATTTCAGACTTGACCACTGATAAAGACACACTGTACTTGACATCCCTGCTTTCTGGCCACAAAGTTGCACATGCCACACATAATTACATAACCTCTAAAACAGTTCCAGTAAAGATTCTTCATTGCCACAGTATTGTACACTCTCCACTGGAAATGCAAACTGGTCTGATTTCTCTTAGTCTAGTCCCTGCACATTGCAGACTGATTTCCCAACTTTATGCGTCTCATCGTGATTTCCATTTGATCTATTCATTTAAGAGACTGCTGCATATTCTATTCTATTTTTGAGTGTTCAGGAAAGCAAAAAATAAATTAAAAAACTCACATCCTTTATTTCCCTAGTGTGTGTCACTATTTTCCAACATTTTGGAAGTTCTTTCTAATGACATACAGAAAACCCATCATTTTGAATAAAAATAGGCATAAAGTCTATGACAATGAGGTAATTCATTGTCCTAATTTGACAACTGGGGAAACTGAGATCTACAGTTTAAAAGATTTGTCAAGATCAACAGTATCAGAATCAAGTGCAGTATTCATTATAGTGATCCATTCTAGTGGTTTTCCTACAATATCACTCAATATCTGAAAATTTGAACATCTTATTTTTTTAAATTTTATTGAAGTAATATCGCATTATAACAGTGTATAGGTTTTAGGTATACATCGTCATTCAATATCTGTATGTATTATATTACATACTATATTATGATCACCACCAAATTTCTAGTTTTCATCCTGTGCTATACAATTAATCCTTTTTTATTCTATTTGCCACCCCTTTTTTCTCCTTCTGTTCTGGTCACAATCATCTTGTTCTTATAGAAAATTTGAACTTTTATATTTTCCCTATGATTTCAGGATTTCTAACTTTTCCTTTTTCCAGAAACTATTGATTATATGCTTTGCCTGCATCTTCACAGAAATATATATATATATGTATATAAATATATGTATTTTACAAATGTATAGAACTAACAGAAGCTGACAATTGAATATTCATCATGTCAATTTGACCTTGAAGTGTCAGTATTACTTAATGTGAAGATATCAAGATGATAGCACAGCAGATGCTGCCAAATGAAAAATTTGCTGCAATGAGCTTTTTATGAAATATTGAGGCTAAGCAAAGAACCGGTTCCTCTGACAAAAATACCCTCAGTCACTCCCCTCACTAAATCACAGTGTGGAGGCTGCAGGCACGCTGGGCTTTCCATTGCCAGCAATGACGTCCTGAATGTGCTTAGCTGGGAAACATCCAAGATCAAGAGATGACCTTTTTATTGCAGATTGTGAGATCATCCTTATTCCCATTGGTTCACACTAAAAACAAAGATTGGGTTTTGTGGGGATTTTAATTACACATGTTTTAAGAACTTCATTTCTATGAAGATAAAATAAAATCCCACTCTGAGAGAAAAGGAAAAGGTAGACTCGCTCTCTGAGCAGTGCAAGTGTCAGTCACATCTTGGAAGCACACTGCATGCTCTGGTCTGTATTGCAGTTATACTCAACACCCATCCTCCCTTCAGGTGGGAACCTAACTGTTGCAACCGGAACTTTGTTGCCGCTTTGCGATGAGGGACGTTTGCAAAGCAAGTCTCTGCTACTTGAGCAGAAGTTCTTGTGCCATTTATTGAAAGCATACAGGCTAGTAAAAGCTGATCATGTGACAATGGCATGAGGAATAAGGTCCCGAGAGGCTAGGAATGGAGGACAAAGTTTTACGAGGGACAGGGAAGGGGACATTGTGGCCATACGTCAAGAGACATTTGCATCAGCAAATTATTTGATGTTATCACAGGCAGAGTTATCCTGAGACCACCGTGGAGATAGTCACGTAATCAGGCCAATGTGTCCTAGGCGTCCCAGGGCCTGCCTCGTGGTATGAGCTATACTCCGTAGGTGGTCAAGGAATTCTCTGCTGTGATTTGTAGATAGCAAATAGGCCACAGCTGCCCATGAGTGGCCAGCTCATAGGAACCCACACCTAACACCACACCCAGTATGGAATACAGTTTCCACCTACCACTCAGTGTTGTGGACCTCAGCTAAGAGGAAGAAAGGGGAGCCCTAACTAATAATGCAACAAGTGGGACCACCAGGGTGAGCTGGGCATAGAAGAGTGATGATAAGAACTACCCCAAGTTGTTTACCACTCTCATCATGTTACCTGGCTGGGGTACACTACAGAAGATAGCAATTACTGAGCAACCAGGGGTCTGAGATCACATTCACTGTTCTGCTCAACACTGTTACTCCAGGGTGATTAGCAGGACCAGATCGAGGAGATCAGGGATATGTTGCTTTCCTCTGTGGATATAAGACGATGCAAATTTCTCCATTCAGAGGCACAGAGCAGTAATGGAGGTGAAATGAGACCATATAGTCAAGCTAGAGCTCAAGAGAGAGCACTCTCGGATGACACCACAGTAACCTTTATTTTCACATGACTGCAATGGCACCACTGTTCTATTCCAGGCAGAATGCATGGTGCTGGCCAGGTTCCATTTCTCCCTGCTCAACTCAAGTTGTAGTCACACAATCAAATGCACAGTGACAAGATTTCCTGAGGTTTTCAGGTGCATTCAACCTAGCAGGTTGTGGGTCGCTACAATTCAGGTCCTATGGTTAAATGAAGGAAACTATTGCTTCCAGATGCCAGTTAGAATCAAAACAGATGCTACAGGGCCTCCCTGGTGGTAAGGGGTTAAAATCTCAGTGCTATCAAGCTATCGCCAGCCATTGCAGCACAAGTTCAATCCCAGGCCAGGGAGTTAACCCATATAGCACAGCAGACCTCTCCTATCTAGCCCACTGCTCCCCTCAGCAGTGTATTTCAGTAGATCTTCCTGTTCTGCTCCCCACTGGTGAATCCTGCACACCTCTGCCCTACACCCCAGTTCTTATATACATAAATAAATAAAATAAAACGTTAAAAAACAAAAATGAAGGGCCTCCCTGGTGGCGCAGGCGGTTGAGCACCGCACTGTGAAGCTGCCCGCAGCCTTTGCAGTGTAGGTTTGATTCCGGCCGGCAGGCAAGAATCCCACATGGCAGGGCAGACCTCTCCTGTCTCATCCGCTGCTCCCCTCAGCAGTGTATTTCAGTCAGTCTGCCTGTTCTGTTCCCTGTTCTGTCTCTGATGAATCCTCTCACCCTCCCGCACATCTGGCCTGTACCCCAGCTCTTGTATAAATAAATAAATCTTTAAAAAAATGAAAAAAAAGAGATGCTGCGTAATATTAGTTATATAGGTGGCAAGTTTAGGATAATTCATCTCATTTATACAAAATACTTTTAGAGTACCAACTATGTTCCAGATATTATGCTCAGTCATGGTTGATACAAATATAAACAAGACACAACCAGGAGGCACTCACAAGTGAGGGAGAGAGAAGTACATATGCTGTGGTGAACATAAGATTATAGCTAAATTCAGGGTCCTCAAAGGTTGAACATCTAATCCAGTCTGAAATGAATGAGAAGTATTTCTTAAAATAATCAGGACAGGGGGTGAAGGGATGACCAAGGATGGGAAAGAAGATTAAAGGAATGATATTCCAAGCAAAAAGAAAAGTATAAGCAAAGATAAACATTACAAAACCTGTGCCTGTAAGCTATTACTGGAACATGAAATGTGCATGACAGGAATGGTAACCAGGTAGTGGCTAGGAAGCCAGGAAAAGGTCAGTTCAGGACATACAGATATCCTATACAAGGACCTTTACTCAGGCACTAGGGAACCATTGAAGGCTTTAAGGAGGAGGGGCATAGTAAATTTGCTCTCCTGAAAGATCATTCTGGCAATAGTTAGGAGGAGAGGGCTCAGGGGGTGACATGGGAGGTGAAAGGGCAGAACACATAGGGGCTTATTTCAAAAGTTGACATGGGTAGTGATGAGAGTCTGTCATCTCTCAGTTAGTTGAACGCTGAGTCCGGAAACCAGGTGCATCCCCACATTTGTGCCCAGTGCATAATCAACATGGGACCCCTGCCACAAATCTACTATACGAAGTGTGGCAGAATTAACCTTCGAATGTCCTCTTAAAGTAGATGGAAACCAGAAAGATTTAGGAATTCCAGCCACAACCCCACTCCCTGCTCATCTCTTCCCAGTTCCTAGGTATGCTTCAGATCCCATTTTTTGAGTGTCCAGACCTACTGGCGCCCAGCTCGGCCCTACCTCCTTCTCTGACCTGGGGTGGCTCTGCCACATCCTTGTCTGTTGCTCACATTCCCTGCTTTTGCTAACTTCTGAAGAACAGATGTAACTCATCTGTTTGTGGTCACTGTCATGTCTGCCACTTTTTAAATAAACTTAGAGAGTTTGCCCCTTCTCACCAGCTCAGTATTGTGGCTGCTCAAAGTCAGTACAACATTATGTTTGGTGGTAAAGATTATATCCCACGCTCCTTGCAAATCAAAGTGCACTATTTCCTTCCTTTCAGTAAGTCAACATCAGGCATAACAGCCCCATAAGGAGAGTGTCTTCCAGTAGTGAGCACTGGCAGGCCAGACCAGTGTCCTTTTAGTCATTCCACACAGGGTATCACCCTCTCCACACTCTGAAGGGTGCTGCTCTTCAAGGTTACTAAACAGCAAACACTACTCTGTCTTCAGCTACCCCACCCTGACTGTGCTCAGACTCTCAGCTGCTCGTCTGGAGAAACTTTTACAAGAAGGTCTTCCTGGACAGCAGACTCTTCTTCGAAGGATAACACCTACTAACGTACTGTTAGCATCCCTACTCTGCTGTGATGATAATGGGAATCTCTCTTCTGCTTTATTTTAAAAAGCAAAGGAAATAAAACATGTCTAATAATACCACAAAAAGGTGAAAATAGAGTTATGTAGAAGAAATGTTTTTATATGCCAATGTAATTAAAATACTATAAATCTAAAGCTGATTCTGGCAAGTAAAGGTACGGTAAACTCTAGAAAAAACACTAAAAAATGTGAAAAATCTCATTAAAGATTATACCTAAAGTAACTTGAAAAAGAGGTACAAATAGAACCTAAAGTTAGTAGAAAGAAGAGAAAAATAGAAATAAGAGTAGAAATCGATGAAATAGCAATTAAAAACCATACAAAAAAACAGTGAACCCAAGAGTTGGTTCCTCAAGAAGATAAACAAAATTTAAAACCTTTATTAGACTAACAAAAAGAAAAAAGAGAGAAAAACATTAATAAACAGAAGATGAAAGAGATGAAAGGGGAGAAATTAGCATAGATGCCATAGAAATACCAAGGATCATAAGACATTACAGTGAACAACTACATGGCAATAATTTTGATAACTTTGAAGGAACTGAGAAATTTCTAGATGATATAGTTTCAAAAGTGATCAGGAAGAAACAGAAACTCAAATCAGTCACAATGGTGAAAATTGAAACAGTAATTAAAAATTTACCCCAAAACAAAAGTATTCTTGTATCAGAATGCTTCATAAATGGAGTCTATCAAACCTTTAGAGTAGACATTCTGCCCATCTTGTTCAACTTATTTTTAAAAATCCAAGAAAAGGGAATGCTTCCTAATATAATTTATGATACCAATATTTCCCTAATACCAAAACCAAATAAAGATAGCACAAGAAGAAAAAAAAAAAAAAACCACAGACCAACATCCCTGATGAATGTTGCTGCTAAACTACTCAACAAAATACTCACAAATCAAACTGAACAGTATATTACATGGATTATGTATCATGATCAGTGAAATTATCGCCATGATACAAGGATGGCTTAATATGCTTAAAATCAATGTAATGTAATATAACAACAAAATTAAAGGTAAAAACCATATGATAACATCAATAGAGTTAGAGAAAACATTTGATAAGATTCAGCACCATTTATGATAAAAGCCCTAAACAAGACGGGAATGGAAGGAAACTACCTCAAGAAAATAAAGGTGATATATCACACACCTACAGCGAATATAATACTCAAGGGTGAAAAACTGAAAACTTTTCCTTTAACATCAGAGAATTCAGGTACCTAAAGAATCATTAAAGAAATCAGAGTGCTACAAATCTAGTGTAGGATCATAGAGAGATTTTTAGAGCAGTTGGGCTATTGGGCAGCATCCCTAAGGAAATTTAAAATAAAGTGTCAGCACCCACTTTAGTGGTCAAGAGAAATGCAGACTTGGGGATGTATGGAACAGACTGGAAGGAAATAGGAAAAAGAGTGTACAACTTTCTAGACTTGCTCGCCTAGAAGATGGAAGGCTGGCAAAGTCTTATCCCTGTCATTTAACTAGACTTATCCTAAAACAGACTATAACAAACTGAAGTTCTCACTGTTGCACCAATCAAAATCCCCCTGTAGGATTTGTTCAACCACAGATAGCAGGCTTCACCCAAGAGTTTCAGATTTGGGTCTCTAACAAAGATTCCAGGTGATATTAATGTTGCCAGTCTAGGCAATACAGCATGTGAGCCACTGACAGACCTAAGGTGAAGTCCATAACGGATAATGAAATTAAAACACTTGGAGGGACTTGATGACCTACCTCTGCCACAGAGAAAGGGAAGAGACTCATGTCTAATTATTCAGGGCTTCATATTTCCTGTTAAGTTCAGAGATGAGTAACCAAAGTTATAAGATTTAAGGAGACTTTTTCTGAGACAGCTAAGAGAAGTCAGAGAGAGGATGAGAGATAAAGAAGAAAATAGAAGTGGGAGGGAAGGAGACAAATGGGGAAGAAAAGGAGAAAAAGGGTGTAAGGGCAGGAATGGACCACAGTGCAGGTTTTCTTTGATCCCATGCAGACCGGGTAAAGGAGGAGTCAGAGTCCTCAGTGGTTTTGCAGGTTTTTATTGGGGTTCAGCGGGTACGTGGCAGGCAGGGGTCCCAGGAGGCTTGCAGTCCTCCCAGCCCCCAGCAAATCTTCACTTTGTCTGGGCTCACTGGCGTTCTCTACTTCTGCTTTGGGCTTCTTCTCTTTCGGCTTCTGCTGCTGCTGGCGTCCCCGTGACGCCGCCCTTAAAAAGCACAGTCTCAGCCCAGGTGAATCCCATCTACCTACGCCCACACCCTATTCCAGGTGCCCGCCATCAGACATGCATTCAGGACCTCAAGGATCCATCATCTATCCTGATGGCGGGAGGGCAGAAAAGCCTGACATTTTCTTTACCCTACAAAGGTAGATAGGAACTGTTATGTTTGAACTTGCAAAAACTTAGCTATGAAACTGTCACCTTGTCACCATGTGGTGCCTAAATCAGAAGCCAATTCTGAGGTGAGCCAAGGATAGGAAAATAAGCAAATCCTAGTGTTGTTATTAAAGTCCAATATCAAACATACCTAAAACTTGTATTACCCTGTGAATCAACTAAATTCCCTTTTCAACTGAATCAGGATCGGGCTTTTACCATTTGCAATAACAATGGGGGAAGGAGTACTGTTAATAACACTTTAGTAACTAAGTGAACAGACAATGCAGAATAAGATACATAGCACATTATGCATGAAGAGGAAAATTTTACAAACCTAAGCCTGCAAAGTCATGAACAGAGACAATCAACATGCTAACAGGACAGAGACTCCAGAGAGGTTCTAACCTAAGATTGCCAGAATTTAACAGAGTATGACCACATAAGTACAAAAACAGAAGTCTCAGTGTAATGAAGCAGCCAAATCTGATGTAGGAGGCAACTAAGAGGGACAGTGACTTAGAATCAACAAGGAACCTCTGAGATAGCCTAGGAAGGGTGGGGAGGCCTAGATTTAATTGGCTTCCAGGTAACTCACAGATCAACTTACACATCTGTCCTCTCTGTCTTAACCCATTGTTAACTCTCTGACCAGTCTTTCCTTTCTGACTCCACACCAAACAAACAACTTCCCACTGGTCTCAAAGTACATTGAGATCCTCTTACCTTGGGACCCCTGAGGCTGTTTTCTGTACCTGGGAGGCTCTTGCACCAGACATTTGCTTGCTTGGTCACTTACTTCCTTCAGACTCTGTTCAAATGTCAACTTAACAAGTTGGGACAGGTTCTTTTGGGAGCAGTCTACGTGAAATAACCAGTCCCCACCACCAGTCTGGCTCACCTCAAACCCCTTTCCTGCTTTCTTTTTCTCCTCAGTGTTTGTGACTAACGGACAGGCTACATATGTACATGTTTATTTATTAATTGTCTGTCCTTAATAGAAAGCAAGCTTCAATATGTGCTCAAGAAAATATTGTTGAATAAATGAACTAGGAATTAGAATTCGCAATTGGGCCAATGTATTCTAAGCTTCTAGAAGTATCCATATCATGACCATCACTTCATAAGACTGAAGCAACGCTTGCCTCCCTAACAGTACCACTTTGTACCACACCTACTCAACCCATTGCTATTCTATAGACATTGCTTTTAGCTGACTTCCATTAACCCCTACTAAAATAATTAAGTCGTTAATTAACAGGCTTAAGGTATAATTCATTTTCGACATCTATGCATTTTTATTGTATTTGTAAAGGTTTGTTATGTGTCCGTGACATATATTTAACAATAGTATTGTAGGAGCTTTTGGACCTAGAGATGTCAGAATAATGGGAACACGACTGATGAAGCTTATAATTTCATTTACAGTGTTCAGAGAGGACTATTAGAGATTTGAAAGTCTACAAAATTTAAAGAAATGCCATTTTTGTTAAATCAAATGTAGTGAAGTTTCTAACTGGGGACTAGGAGTCCTATCCTCATTCCTAGTGACAGCTTAAAGTCAATAGAGCTTTCAGGAATTTGCAAACCAGATGTTAAATATAACGACTGCTTAAATTTCAATTAAATATATTGATATATATTATATTATATTATATTATATTATAAACAAAGATACTAAAAATATGTGGAATCATCACTTAATTATGAATTTATTATATCTTACCATTATTTATCTATCCAACATTTTTATGTCTCTGTAGGGTAAAGAAGATGTCAGGCTTTTCTGCCCTTCCGCCATCAGGATAGATGATGGATCTTTGTCCTGAATGCATGCCTGATGGCGGGCACCTGGAATAGGGTGTGGGCATAGGTAGATGGGATTCAGCTGAGTTAAGACTGTGCTTTTTAAGGGCGGCGTCACGGGGACGCCAGCAGCAGCAGCAGCAGCAGCAGCAGCAGCAGCAGCAGTAGAAGCCGAAGCAGAAGCCGAAAGAGAAGCCGAGAAGCAGCAGAACGAATGCTAGAGAGCCCAGATAGAGTGAAGACTTGCTGGGGGCTGGGAGGCCTGCCAGCCTCCCAGCCAGCACCCCTGCCTGCCATATGCCTGGTGAACCCCAATAAAAAACCTGCAAAACCACTGAGGACTCTGACTCCTCTTTTACCCGGTCTGCATGGGATCAGAAAACCTGCACTGTGTCCTGTCCTGCCTCTATAGTCTCCTATTATCATGGGAATACTGTATAATGGTGAGTTACTGAGCATTATTTCCCAGTTTCTCATTCAACAACATCACATTGGAGGCCTGAAATCTGTCATGGTGAAAGTATTTACATTAAGGGCATTGTGTAGGGTAAATGGAAGTGATCAGGTTTTTCCACCTTCCCACCATTAGCATCTATGATCAACACCTGTGGTCTTATACACATGCCTGATGGTGGCACCTGGAGTGTGGTGCGGCCATGTGCGAGTGGGAGCACCTGAACACAGAGACTGATCATATAAGGGCAGCAGCAGAGGCCGGGGGGCAGCAGAGACCAGTGAAGAGACCATGAAAGAACAGGATACCAGAGAGCCCAGAAAGAGTAAAGATTTGCTGGTTAGAAGGCCTGTCAGCCCTCTGATCCCCAGATCCCCCTTCCTGCCCTGTGCCTGG